TCATGCCACATGATAGCCACTCACCTCCTTTGACTTCACCATTGGTACAAACTGCAGATAATGATAATGTTGTCAGAGTAGTTACCACAGCAGACATGATCACAATGAGAGAAGCCAAAGCTATTCCAGCTTGTCCCACTACCCAGGAGAGCCGTAAATAAAGCATCACACCCCATATGTTGAGCAGACAGCCAAAAAGCACGCCTTTGATCCAACCAAACTTTGGTGCACTCTTCACATTTCTTATTTCTATAGAATCCTGGCCATCTTCTAATTTGCTATCATCCAGAGGGGCAGTTTCCTCTGTAAATTCAGCCTAAAAAATAAATGAAAATTTGGAATGAGTACAAATCACTTAGCTTCGTCCTTGGTGTAACCCCTTAGGCTTCACTTGTAAGTAGCCAACTGATTTACCTCCTACACAGTTAAGATTTTTTCATGTTATATTTTATTTGTGGTCAGTAATTCAGGTTGTTTGAGTGTTTTTGATTAGCACGCCACAATCAAAACTACTGCATCACTCTTAGAAAGTCATCAGTTTTTTCAGGCAAGTAAAGATTAACTTGCCTGCTTGCAGGCCAGTCCAATTTATCAATGTACCATATACAAATCATTTAATTCAATGTTGTTCCATAACAAAAGAGTTAATCATGTATGCCAGCAGTTTTAGCATAAATAAACAGCACATATACCAGAAATGGTCATACAGCTGTAAATATCTTTATTTTGTATCAAATTTTTAAAACTTATCTCAATAATTTTACAGATAATAAATTATACAACACCTGAAATATGAAATTGTTCTCATTTTAATCAAAACGTGATATTTCACAATAACGGTGAACTTAAACTGGTTCCTTTTTAAAAAATAATGGCCACATTTTCTGTCCTCATAATAATCTACTTGCAATGTTGGAAAAACGGTTGAAAAGTTTGAAAATCATGGGCCATTTTCTGTGGTTGTTCAAATATGCTGAACACATCAATAATTCAACAAACCAGGAGAGGTTCTATAATCGATTGCTCAAAAAGTAAACATTTCTCGGTAACTGATTATTGTGATTTTTACCACACCTAAAATCAATTTCGTACGTATTTGCATATTTTTTAATCACATAAGCTACTAATTTCTACATGGCTCAAGTACAACTTTCGTGTCTAGTCCGCAGGCCGAGTTTTATAAATTGAATCAAATTTAACTTTTAAGAAGCTATGACGGAGCTTTTACAATCAAAAACGGTTAGTGAGCTGCCCATAAAATCAATATAGGCGCGAGTGTTTTTGATCATCAGCTCATTTAACCAAGTGGTGCGTGTCAAGGATACAAACACATTTAGTCTTTGCAGCAATATTTTAAATTTTATGATGTTTTTTACAGTGATGTGACTTAAATACACGGCAATGCTTTTGTTTATAAACACCGAAAGGACTAGAGAACAGTATAGCTAAGGTATACCGTGTTTCTCGGTTGTTTTCGCAATCCTGGGAGCTTTATTCTCCAGCGAACCATCATTAATTTCATTCACTCAGCATACAAATTAGATTTACCGCCGCGTATCATAATAACATCGTCTAAACCCCTAATCACGATAACTTTATCAAAAATGGAAAACATTCACCGGTCAGAAGATTTCACACCCATATTGATACACGCAAGACCACATTGCACGTGACAAGTGAACGAAAATTCAAAAATTCACCAAACTGAAAATGAAAAGCCCACGAGCGTTCGTACTTCAACGGTTGACCACTCTTAAAATACATTCATACCTTGTCATTTTCTAAGCCTTTTCGTAGTTGCTGCAGTGTGGGCCGTTGTTTTCCACCGTGTCCGTGCGAGTGCTGACTGCGATAGAAGATAGTCATGGGGATGGCTTCGTTGGTAGCGTAACCGTGAGTGAAATGTTCAGGGCTTCGCGGGCTTTCGATCGGACTGGATGGTGAAGAAGACTCATTCGAGTGTTCTCCACTTGTGTCTCCAGAAGAATCTGATCCAAATTTCACCTTCAGAACGGAAAATTTTTTTTTCTGTTCCGTTGACTCGTCATCACCGGCGGCTTGATCCTTCGGGCTTTCCTCCGGGTTTGAGTTGGAATTCTCTACATCAAGCTTCTTCTCCACCTCATCAGACATGTCTATAAGGTAAAAAGGCTGACTAAAATGATGACAATGAGATATTTCAGCTGTGTTATCGTCAAAATTGCGACTGTTCTGCAGGTTAGCCTTGTCGTAATGAACCGGTCGATCTTGAACTGCCGCTTTGGTGAGTGTCAAGGGATACCGGAAATCTAGGATACGAGGCCTGAAACACAGGAACGGTCGGAACAATCAAAACTGCTGGAAAGCGGAGGAAGAGAAGGACTATAGAGCACTTGGAACTAATGTAATACAGAAACAGAAGATAGGAAATAGGATGGAAAAGTAAGTATATCGCAGCAATGACATGTATTTTAAAAGAAAAATTACCTGTGATGGGAGAAAGGACTTTGAGATACCCCCGTGTAAGAGACTTACCTTCACAAGACCTCAGTTCGTCAAAAATATAGCAACTAATGCTCAAAATAAACTGAATAAGGTTACTTTGAGTCAGTTTTCTACCATATTTTTGAATTAATGTTTCTTATTTTTATGTTTCTTCCTAAATAGCCAGTTCCTCAACAATGAAAATAAAAGTGAAAGAGGAAATTGTTTTTCTGTGTTTGATCGATGGATGAATAGATCGATCTTTTTTCGTTTGTTTGTTTGATTCCTTTAGTTGATCTCAACATATTCAGAGATTGGTGCTCTAAAAGCCTTTAGGAGCCATTAATCAAGATCTTGGAAAACGACGTCCCAAATTTCATGTCACGGTGCACATGACCAAAGGACAATGAGAAACACACACTTTTTGTTCGCTCGATTCTTCCGTCCACCTTTCTGTGAGTCAGTTAGTCCGTCAGTCACTTAGTCAATCAGCCAGTTAGTCAGTCAATCAGTTAGTCAGTCAAACGATCTGTCAGTCAGTCGTCAGCAAAATAATAACTTTCCAGCCCATTTTTCATTCGACTTTAAATAGAAGAGAAATAATTTCGGTTTTTCCTCACTAATTTTGATCTAAATTAAACGATCTCGATGCGTCATAGCCAACGGTCATTTGCACGCGCCTTATCTTTAAGAGATTTAGTGAAAGCGATAAAGATAAACGAGGTCCGAAATCTTAAACAACGAGTGAAACAATGGCCACATGATAAGTCAGATTAACTGAAAAACTCTTTACGAAAGGTGCAATGAAAAGTGGCGAAGCTAGACACCTACCTTAATTGTCATTTTACGTCTCCGAGTGATTCCTAAAATGGATCGTAGTTGCTTGTGGCCAGAAAGATCAAAAACTCACACCGATAAGTATTAAAAAGGACATCCTATAAGTTGGATTCTTTTTCATTCTTATCATCGCCTGATATTGTTTTACACAGAGAGTTTATAATTCCATTTGGCGTTTTTTATAACCATAACTACTCGTTATTTACACACGCATGTAGCTACTCCCCATGAAATCGGAAATCTTCCTAGTCTGTGCAGTTGTTATGGTTACGCGAGATCACGGATTGTAATCGTCACGATGTCGTAACTCATTCAAGTACGTAATGTAGAGAAGCGAGCAACCTGGGACGTAGTTAAGAAGTTTGGACGCTGGAATTAAATTTCCGTTGCTTACAACGAAATCTTTTTTTCTTTTTAATAATTTTTGAAGCCATTCCGTATCCAATAATACGGATGAATAAACGTTGAAATTTCAAAAATGGGTCATTTGAATTATTTGAAGGGCACAAGGGAAGTCCAAGACTTGCTCAACGTGTAGCTTACGGAACACTCGCTTCTCAAGGGCTCCCCAAACTTCGTATATTTATAATACCGTCTATTCATTTTTTAAGAACAAGTGCGTATGATTTTCTTTTCAAATCTGCCACAGCTTTTTTCACCAACATCTTTAGACTTGATTTTACGGCAATGGTGATAGTACACGGCATCGTATTACCCATTACTAACTATCCCGGGCTTGGGGTACGAAAACAAATTCCGCCGAAGCCTCCCATCCCCTCTACCCTGAGGCCTTCTTTTTCTCTCTTCTCAGTAAACAGGGATGGCTCAGGGACTGTGCACTGTACTCAACTTCTGTGTTTCCCGCGCTTATTTTAGTCAGCGGCTCACCACCTAAACCCATGATGCAACATTCATGCCTCAGAAGGAAAGTATAATGGACTCTGCGATTATGTTGTGTAACTAAATTCTCGGAATCTACTTCCTATGCGGTGATTCAATTTTGGTACTAACAAGCAAAAGATGTTTTCTCCTTCAGGAATCACCCCTCAGGTATCTCAAACATGTTTTAAGCCGGTAAAGCAATGAACTTTTTTAATTTTCCCGTGTTTGTCTCACGTGCTTATCTCACAATTCTCTACGTCATATTAAACACTGTTCTTTATTTCCCTGTCACATTTCGTTTCTCTTGTCACATCTTTGGTGTATACTCGATCGTAGTTTTTAACGTTTTGCGAAAAGATGAATTCAAGCATGGCACACAGCGGTAGTAACAGGACTGTAAAGCTTTTTTGCGTAAACTAAGTATGCGAGTGTTTCTGCGAAGATCGATGTGATACTAATATCATAACTTCTGAACCTCTTAAAAATTAAATCGAAATTGATTAGATGTAGTGCACAGGAAGTGCTTATTACTAGCTCCCTCTCTTTTTTTGCAGTTGTACCAAAAATTTCCTGTCATAATAAAGGATGTCCATGTTCTAAATTTTAATTTCGTGGAGTTACAGCCAATAAACATACCTGTGTATCCACTAACTTGAGCTGTGCAGAGAGATGTTTGTTATGGTGCTGTTAGAAGTGATAACAAAGTAGTGATCATCAGATTGAGTTGTCATTCTAATCTCCTTATCTGAGGTTTATGTCCAGAAAAGGACAAGGCACTTACTCTGTTATCATAAGCCCCTCTTTTAACTTAAAAGTTTTAATGTTCAATTGGAATTTGTTTCTTTTTTTCCATTCATTCAATCAAGTATTTATGTGTTTTTATTTTCTTCATCAATTATTTTCTGTGTTCTCTAGGCTGGAGGACTTCTTTACCAAATGACAACAGTATTAAATAGTGTCAAGAAGTCATCCATTGGAAGGTGTATGTCATATATACAGACAAAAACACAGCATGATAACAACTCAAAAGTAAAAACAGAACCAAGTGTGGCAACTACCTCAGACACAGTAACATCTGACAGTGTAAGTTTAAAAAGTTAATTCTTAACCAGATATATGTACACCCACACAACCATTCCATCTTTTCAGAAGGTTAGGGGAAGTGTCTAGGGATGAAAGCCTAGGCCCAGGTTCTTTGAGACACAGTTAACCTAACCCTGCGTCAGTGTAAATTTTTGATTCAGTTAAATAGCTTCACAAGGGGATTTTTCTTTTGTATTTTTTTCTTGTTATTTTCAAGTCATATTGAGATAATTCCCCCAACAAATCCTCAGCTCTTACATTTATACATGCTCTTCTACATGAGAAATTGAAGACAAGGTTAACTTTTAATCCTAGATTAACGTTAACCCCCTTTCAAACAACGCAGCCCAGTTACTCAAATCCTGATTGTATTTCAGACCTAATTATGGAGAATCCATATCTATTTTCACATAGCACAAACATTATTTATCTGATATTTTAAGTCTAATTATTTTCTTTTGATGGGGAAGTTTTGATTGGGCTAGTACAAATGAAGTTGTAAATGTCTCAAATTGACAATAAATTTCCAATTTCTGTTGTACAAAGTCTCAATGTGATTGCATCTGGGTCAGGAGTTTTCATCTTTTCTTCAATTTGTTTTTGCACTTATAACTGTCATGTGTACTTTATTATATACCTTCTATATCAACTATGAGTACTAGTTGTCATAATTTTTTCGTTTCACTTTTAGGATCCTTACACCACATTTCTTGAAGAATTTGGTTTGTCATCTATTCCAGCTGAACTGTTATCTCAGCTGACCACAGCTTTGTCTATCTGTCAGTGTAACACAAACAGCACTGATAACTTGTGGAGAGTATCTCATGTCTCTTCAGATTCATTTTTCAAGAACAAACATGGTAAAGCTGAATTGTTTCATTTAGTGATACTGTAGATGTGATGGTAAAACTGTTAAAAGCAGTCAGCTAAAACTGAGAAACTGGGCTGTGAGTCTGAAAATTTTTTAATTTTTTTTTAACTAAACCTTTAAAATAGTTTTGGCAGAATTTCAGTAATTTTGGAGCTAAACCTGCAACAGAAGTAGCCTATCTCTTTAGTACCACACATGTTTTGCAAGCTTTAGTATAGGATAAATTCATGCCCTCTCTTTAGGTCACTAGATAGCAACTCTGGAAAAAGTTGACAGAGCTATTGCATAACTTGAGAATTTGTCTCACTTAGTTGTTGACTTGCTGATTGCATCTTTTCTTGACAGGATTTTCAAGTATAACTGATCATTCAAGACACAAGTCATCCATCTTCATGACATCTTTTTCAAAAATACCATGGCTACACACATCATGTAAGTGTATCAACTGTGCATGATAATATGTTTAGCCAAATGTAAGGTCCCTAGTTTGAGAACACTGCTGATAAAGTACTCACAGCATATACAGTAGGGTTACCTGTGATATAAATTTCACTACAGTCCTGTTGTGGCTAAATTATGTTAAAAATGTGACTGCAAATTTTTGATCTCCTTTACTGTAGTTCACACCCAAAACAGAGGAATACATTCATATTCTTCACGGCGAATACAGCAGCTGGAGGAGAGAGCTAATGCAGAAGAACACAATCCCAGGGCTCAATCAGAATATTTGCGGGTCAGTTTATGTTAGCTTGTGTGCTCACATGGTATAAATCTATTTAAAGATAGTTGTTATGAATAAAATGGATTGTAAGACAAGCAGGAATGATTGTGTTATAACCATCTGTGTGTAACTTTCAGGCCTTGGTTCAGGAGGATCCAAATTATGTTGTGAGGAGATATGAGAGTGGAAAGTATGCCATAGACCAATCTGTGACAAATGAATACTTGAAGGTAAAGTTGCCTAAGTTTAATTTTTTTGTGCCTGGGTTTTTTGCAAAGTAAATACAATATATAAAGTTTAGTTAATAAAGATTACTAAATTGTTTTGAAATTGATGAGATTATCAGTCCTTGATAAATCCTTTCATAACTGATCAAATTATTTCACTTAGTAAGATGCAGCTGAATTAGCTTTGTTAAAAATAATGTTAAAATTTACAGGCACTGGTGATGACAGACAGAGTTAACCAAGTTGACATGAAAAAGGTATAAAACTAAATATTTATTTTTTGTGCATTTGAGTTTTGCAAAGGTTGTACCAATTCCAAGATATCTTTGTTTTGAGAAGCTGCAACTTCTGTCCTATATTCTAGTTAAATGCTAATATGTAAGCATATGTGTATTTTTTACTGAAAGGAAAATATTTATAGCCTAAGGAAAAGAGATGTTAATTCACCTTATAGTAGGACTTTATTCTTCACTGGCCACTTGAGCTTTCCTGAATACTATTATACAATTACTGTTGAGGGAACCGACATGGGTTCTAGATGAGGGGGCTTTTCAGAGAATGGGCACTTTCAAAAAATTGGCCCAGCATAATTTTAGCCCAATGTCATTAAGCTCTTGCTTGTATCTTAGGTTTTTTAAGGGGGAAGGGAGGGTGGGTTCATGAAAAACTTTGGTCTCCTGATGAGGGTGGGGGGTTTATTGGATAGGGATTCTTATCCTTAAGACATTGATAATTGGCCCTTATACTTTGTTTTTTTGTGTGTGTGTCTGTGTTTAGATCTTTTCTTCAGGCAATGATTATGGTAGTACATCATCCCATGGGGCACCAACCTCTCCTTTAGTTCAAACTGGGACTGAGGACAGTCCAATACATGTCATTACTCAAAACCAGAAAGGTGAGCTCAGTATAGTTCTTTTTTTCAAGAGGACACTTCTGGTTGATCCAGGAGGCTTTAACATATACTATACCTTCATAACACAGAAAATTTATTGTTTGAAAAATACTTCGGTGATAGATTTTACTCTGTTACTTTGCAGGTTCATTCTTCCGCGAACAATTTTGGAACACAGTCAGATTTTTGATTGCCCTTTTTCTGATCACCTCGCTGATTGAGGGGCAACTTCAAATGAAATGTAAGTGTGAGGTGTTATAGAACAGTCTAAAGTTACTGTTATCAAGTGAAGTAATTATTACTTTTTATTAATGCAATGATCCAAATTGTAACACCAATTTTCTCAAGGGTGATTGGCTATAAGCTTTCCAATTTGAACCTGAAACTGAAATCTAGGCACCCACCCAAATGTAGGCATTATATCCTCTGCATATGAATAGGTGTTATCAGCGTAGCTGTTCTGTGAAATATAACTTTTAGTGTGTTTTGATTTGATGATACAAAAAACCTAAACAAACACCTGTCCAGCTTCATTTGTAGTGTCTGAAATTTGTATTCCCCAGACTGTTGGACTAGCTTTCTCATTTATTTCAAAAAAAATTTTTTTGTAACCCCCAACCTCTGCTTGTTGTACAAATTTATTTTACTTCAATATTTTAAATTGCTGGTAAGATTTCATTGAATTCAGTGCATGTTCCTAGCAACAGTCAAAGTAATGATTTAATGTAACCCCAGTCTCATTGTTATCCAATTTTAATAAGTTGCCTTTAGTGATTTGTTATCCAATTTTAATAAGTTGCCTTTAGTGATTAGTCAGACCATTGTTGGTTGTACATCAATCAAAGCACTTTTTTATGGTCGCACTCACTTTGAATTGGTGTAATGCTCTATGTATGTGCTAATAAGATTTGTAAAGTGTTGTTGTATTTAGCCACTCAATCTGTGGTGCATGATGAGGATGTTTTTGTTATTTTGACTCACAGTAACTTCAGGTCACAAAGATATTCAGCCCAACACCACAGACAGAAAGTGCAGATTTAGTGATGTTCAGGGGGTAAGTCTGTAGCAAAATCAAACATCTTGACAGATTTCTGTAGATTGCTGTCCCTGTAAATGTTGTATGAATTGGGTCGGCATCCAAGCTGTTGGTCTCATTCTTGATTTGGCTCTCTCTACCCTACCCTTGTAGTCTCAGCTCAATTAAATGAAACTGTTTTACTTACCAACATATGTTCCCAAGAAAGGTGTGTGATGTAACTCCCAGCAAGGCTTGATTTAACTTTCCATTCCTTGGCCCTAAAATTGTTTTGAAATTGACAGTACTTCAATTAAAAATGTCGGCTTTTGTATGTAAAGTATTGCCCAAAATAATGTAGACAGTCCCCTTGATCCACAATTCCCAATCCTAGATTCTTGAATTTTCTTCAGGATAAAGGAGTTTTCAAAAATTTGAGCTGATTCTTCAAGACTTTTGAGATGGGAAACACAGAATTTTTGTGTGATTAATTTGTACATGTTGGGAATGTAAATACACGGTGCCAAATTTCCTCCATTGTTCAGGTTGACGAAGCTAAGCAAGAATTAAAGGATGTGGTGGAATTTCTAAGAAATCCAGAGAGATTTAAAAGACTTGGAGGCAAGATGCCAACAGGTGAGTAGCCAAGGTCAACCCAATTCTTTTTTCTTTTGTTTTCATACTCTAATTGATGTTATTTTGTGTTGTTCGTAGGAGTTCTTCTTATTGGCTCACCAGGAACAGGCAAGACTCTTCTTGCCAAGGCTGTTGCTGGTGAGGCTGGGGTTCCTTTCTTCTTCTGCTCTGGTTCAGAGTTTGATGAAATGTTTGTTGGTGTTGGAGCTGCTCGAGTCAGGAATCTCTTTGGTGAGTGAAGACAAGGGTGTGGCTAAGAGTTCAGGATGCAGGATGTACCCCACCCTTAACCTGCTCCCAGGCTGTTGATAATTATTATTGTTAATGTGTCAGTTTCCTCATGAGAATTTGATAAAGATTTGATACAATTCTGTGCAAAAGGAATGCAAACAATCACTTTCTTTGTTTTATTTTAGCTGCTGCAAAAGAGCATGCCCCCTGCATAGTGTTCATTGATGAGTTGGACGCGATTGGTGGGACAAGAATTGTCCACGATCATCAGCCATATTCCAGAATGACCCTGAATCAGTTGCTTGTTGAATTGGATGGGTGAGTACTTGTTTTCTTTCCTGTGGCTCTTTTTTTGGAAAAGATCAGTTCTACACATTTGAAAGGATTTTTTTGTGACTCATTGAGCACTAAAATTTTATTTTGAGTGAAGCACAAAGATAATTCTTCAATGATGTAGCCAGCTTTATAACTACTGAGTTGTACTTAAAACGTGATACATGTATGCATGCAAATGTATGGTGTGTTTCAATTCAATCCCTGATTCGAATTACATTTCTTTTTTTATTATTTAGCTATGAATTATAAATATAAATAAATAAATAAATAAATAACGAGAATAATCTTTTTATCTGAATTAAAGGTGGCTTTTCAGCCCCACAAAAGTTTACTATTAAACTTGATTAAACCAGCTGATATAGTTTTTTTTGAATACTGAATAATCTCTCTGCCAGACTTGAAGCAAGTATCACATGGAGAGAATGTATATTACGCTTTGTCTCATACATGAAACATCTTTTTGACAGATTCGATACAGGAGAAGGAATAGTCGTTATTGGAGCAACAAACTTCCCAGAGGTTTTAGACAAGTATGTTTCGTATCATTTTTAAATTTTTTTCTTTCTTTTTTTACTTTTCATACATATTTTATGCTGTCTTTTTTAGAACAACCTTTTGGCAGTAAAAAAAATATGACATGACAGAGATTACTGAAACACAAGGAAAATTGGATGTTTTTATTAGAACTAATCCTTCATAATGTGCATCACACAGGGCTCTTATCAGACCTGGCCGATTTGACACTAAGATAACGGTACCCATGCCGGATGTGAAAGGGCGACATGACATCCTCAAGGTGCATCTGAAGAAAGTACAAGTTGCTGAAGGTATGCCTATTCTAATCCCATTCATATTATGAGTCAAATTAAATCGTCGGCTGACTAATACTTCTTTGTGCTTTCTTAACTTTGTTACTGTTCTTTTGTACCCCCTTCACTGCCTCCAAAATGATAACAGCCTGCCCTCGCATTGTAGATGCTGTATATATCGGCGATTCACAGTTTTGCACTTAAAGCGCTGGGTAACAGCATTTAGAAGCAACTATTTCTTGAACTTGCGAACCAGTTTTCATAGAGTTTGGTGTTTATCTCCCCCTGCTGTTTCTTTCTGCAGAAATCGATGTAGAAGTGCTTGCAAGAGGAACTGTTGGTTTCTCAGGTATGAAGGTCAAAAAATTCTGTCGAACTTGATCTGTAGTCGAGCATTAGAGAACCGCTTTCCTGATTTCATTTCCTCTTCTAAATATGTAGAGTTAGGACAGTTTGAGACAGATGTGCAAACCCCTAGACGTATATACTGTTGAACAGTGACAGCGCACATAGTATTGACGTTATTTTGTAAAGCTAAATTTTTAGACGTATATTAAAAATTTAGTCGGGTAGTGACGTTAAATACGAATGTATATGAGGTAACAGTACCTTATATATAGCATGGACTTTTCTCTTTATAAAGGTGCTGATTTAGCCAACTTGGTGAATGTGGCAGCAATTTATGCAGCAAGTGAAGGAGATGCGAGCGTCTCAACGAAGCACCTTGAATTCGCTAAAGACAAAATCATCATGGGTAAGTTTGACTTTACTTTATCTTTAATTTGCATTTGTTTCTCTTTTTTTTTGGTTTTTTTTCAATCGCCGCCTTGTCAGCTCAATTGCATGAGCTCCAAACTGCGTATGAGAAGTAAGAAGCTCAAAAATTCTCACCGGGACTGCGACTGGTCAATCTTAAAATTTGACGAACATGTACAAGCTACAATGTCATGGTTTTTTGTTGATGGTAGTATTCTTTTCATCCTGACGGTCGTTTTTCTTTTTCATTCTTTGGCTTAGTATTCATCTCTGATGAGTGTTTTCGTTAGCATATTCAGTTTAACTATTTTGTTTTTGTGCAATGTTTCACCGAAAAGTATCCAATGTAAGCCGTCTAAAAGTGACGGTAAGGTTTAGGTGAAGTCTTACGACCCCTACATCCAAATGGCTCAAATGCTTGAGCTTATCCGTGTTTCCTAAGCATGATGTGATTGGTAGTATTCCTCTCTTCCTGGATCGGATAACACGAGAGAACAGCCTGATCATTCCTCAAAACGAGACCTTTCAATCCGTGATCCCACGCGCACACAACGAGGCCAGTGCGTGTTCCACTGGTCCGTGGGTTTGCTTGTGCTCAATATTGTCTCGTATTGCTGTAGGTCCCGAAAGGAAAAGTAAAGTCATTGAAGCCAAGAACAGGGAACTTGTGGCGTATCACGAGGGAGGACATGCGCTCGTGGCGCTTTATACTCCTGAAGCTTTGCCGATACATAAAGCAACCATTGTGCCGCGGGGTCAGTCCCTGGGAATGGTAAGTATCATGTTCGTAAACGTTTTGCAGCATTTCTTTGCCTGGGGAAAAGTTTATGCAAGGTGCCGCCGAGATCTTCAACCTCCTAACCTTAATTTAAAAGAAATCCAATGGAGCGAAACCTTCAGATACCATCCATGAAGAAAAGAGGGTAGACAGGTCAATTACTCTGTAACTCAACACATTCTTCTTCTTTGTTTAAAGGTCGCCATGCTCCCTGAGAAAGACGAGTTAAACTGGTCTAGAGCCCAGCTTCTAGCACGGCTGGATGTGGCAATGGGCGGCCGTGTGGCAGAGGAAATTATATTTGGCAAAGAGAACATCACAATGGGTACGTGACAAGGCTGCGTGTAATTTACAGCTTATTTGTAAGATGAATGTCACACGTTCAATGTATTTAGACACAAGTCAGGAAAACTGGCTTTAGTGCACGGAGGTTAGATGATTATTTCTCTGTAATAATGTTGGCTTCATGAGCAGGTGTTTTTACACAGTCCCTTTGCGCTATTTAAAAAATTTTTTTTATTTGATTATGTATCTGTTAGGAGCCGCAAGCGACATGGAAGCGTCAAACAAGATTGCACACGCCATGGTGTCTATGTACGGCATGAGTGACAAGGTACGTTTAGGAGATACAACACGTTGTTTGGACTAAGCATATTGGAACAAGTGACAATAAGTAGAAAGAGAGGGAAGCTTCTGGAAGTCATTTATAAGTAGTCTCTCGAAAGGAAATGTGTGTTCCGAGTTTTCGTGTAGACCATGTGAGTAGTGTTCCCATGGAACACATGTAGCCTTCCCCGACAGCAGCGAAAACTCGGGAGAACCCAAAGAGTTAGCAACGCCGCCATGAGTTTGACCACAACTGGCCTTACTTTGATGTCAACAGTTGTGCGTTCAACATGGCGGATTGTGGAAGAAGAGCAATCGAAAAATCATGCAAGCATCCAGTTTATCATTTTATCCTTCTATCGTCGTTCTTTATCTATAAGGCCAATTTTGGAGAGGTTTTCTGTCGCGTATGCTGCCAAGTTTCTCGCAACGCTTCTCATCAATTGTTATATTGTAGAAGTAACTAAATCATTCAAAAAAGAGTCAGGGAAGACGAATGGATATATCTCTTTCTGCTTTCTCAGGTCGGTATGGTTCAAGTGAAGGATGTTTCGAAATCGAGTCCTGAGTTACAGGCACTTATTGAAAGTGAAGTCAAGCAGCTTTTGAAGGTGAGCAAAAAATATTACAAAGGGTAGCCACTTTTGTGCAATCACCAAAAGGCAAGAATTTAGGTTAGCTGTCCCCACAAAGCGACTAACTGTGCAACAATGCGAAGTAGGTAGTAGAAGTAGATAGTATAGATATTCTACTTTTTTCTGCTCTCGGAAAGAGTTCGAATATATCTTGCATAACGCGGCATTGGTGATTAGACTCGGAGAAAGAGAAACATCGATCGTGAGAATATAATTGTGTCATCCTCCCAGCTGAAAGTAATAAACAGTGAACAACAACCAAACTTTCGAAGACTTTGAACTCTTTCACTCCTAAAAGTGATCAACATGTCATTTTTACTTCATAATATCAGCACATCGTCAATATGACAGATAAATAGGGGCAAGAAGCAACAAAGAAGGGTTGCAGATTTTGACGTAACACCCAAATGAAAACAAATCAATGGAAGTTACTTTGGGATATTGGAATCAAAAGGCTTTTCCGTTTTTTTAGGGGGGGTGGGTTAGCTGTTGACTGCTAGTAATTTACTTGAGAGGGTAATAATCCTTGTGTTGTGTTTTAGGACTCATACGAAAGAGCGAAGAATATACTACAGACTCACTCTAAGGAACACAACCGTTTAGCCGAAGCTCTGTTGAAGTACGAGACTCTTGACTTGCAAGAGATCAAAGAGGTCATTCAGGGAAAACAGCTCTCTAGAAACCTGTGATGTTGGCTCTTCCAGACTAACTTCGTTTTCGTCGAACTAAATATCAGCTGAAATACTTAAATGTTCATTTAAATGTTGCCGTTGCTGAAAGAAGCTTCGCCTCCGTTTGTCGATCAGCATCTTGAAAATTTAGCCTGATTGTTCGTCAGTTGCATCTGTCTATCCTGACCCATGTTTGTTCTCCATTGTCTTATTGATGCTCCTTTGGAGGGGCAAACTATCAAAAGATGAAAGGTAACTGGGATACTAAAACGAGGCAGAATATCACCCTATGGACGAAGCTGCTCTTTACTTTAAAGGATCTTAAGTTGTAATAACCATAACAGTTCGAAAAATGCGTTGACGCATCTTAAATATGTACTATAGTGCTTGGCGCAAACAGTTTTGGCCTCGTGTGCCAGGTTTTTTTTTTTTTCACTTTAAGAGTAAGGAAGTATCCGTTTTCTGCGCCGCGCAGTCACATGAGCCCAGTTATGGTACTTGTTTATTCCCTTTCTTATCAGAAGTTAGTCGTTCCAGTTTTCGTTGTTAATTGTTCGCGAATTGTTTTTTACCAAAATATTGCTCTCGGGAGCAATATACCTTTCTTTTTCGAATTATTCCAAGCCTGAGAAACTGCTGTTTAATCCCTGATCAATATTTTGTTTTGTTTTTTTTGGTTGTATGTCCAGATGCTTCTTCGTTTAGTGCTTTATTTCTGTGACACTTAGAGGGTTGGGTTTTGGAGGTTCTCAACCGAGTATTACACGATAGCTAATCACAGATTACGAGAAAGACTTAAAGAATTAATGAAATCGCAATAAGTAATCTCCACAAATCGCGGGAAAACGCGTGTGGCATGCCTTATAGTTTTTTATTTGATTGGCTGATTGTGGGCTTTGTGCCTTATTATAGTCTTCGTGAGGAACTAGCGGCTTCGACTGAACCGAGATTTGTCAAACATCCAAGCTTTTCTTAATTACTTACAACGCCCTGCTTTAATCTATCCGTAGATGCGGGTACATAACTCGGCTCTAGTAAGACATTTTAAATATGGCTGCCTATTTTCTTTTACTCTTTGCAACAAACTTTGAGTCACAGGTTTTAAAATCTTTTGACAGTGTAAATGCTACAATTTCATGTAAAAGGTTTTCATTCCTTGTGGGAACCCGAGTTAAGTTGTTTGCTGCTGGTATTACATTTTAAATTAGAATGGAACAGGAAACAGACGGTAGCTTGAAAACTTAAATTATCTTTGAAAGACAAATAAAAGAGCAATATCTGAAGTATTAGTATTTCGTTTGTGTTGAAAATCTTCCCTTGTGGATAACCATTTTGTGGTAGATTAAAGAGAGTGCTTATAGACGTCTCTTTGACAACAAATTTTGGGAAAGCCTTGCAAGAGCGATATTGAACTAATTTGCAAGAAGCACCTTCACGCGTCAAAGCGAGCGTTTATGTGTCATAGTGAAACTGGTTGAGACTTCACATGATGTTAGTGACGTAGCCATTGTGATTTCCAGGGCCTTTTATCAAGAAGGAAGGGGAGCTTGGAAACAAGGACTGGCGTTTGAGACCGGAGTGCACTTCTGATAACCTGATAACAGAACTTAAACAACGCCGACCTTAAACGTGTCGGTGTGGATTTCAGGCACAACCTACCGTAACCCTCTACACCCTGACATCAGTATGCATATTCTCCATATTGTTCTCTACACATTTCCTACGATTATAACAAGGAGAATTTGTTTGACATTCAAGGTCTTCCTCAATTGATGATCATTTCCTGTATTCTCGTAACTTAATGTTTGGCTAAGGGGTGTTATTCTAAGGAGAAGTTAGACTGCTAGTCTAACTCAGGAATTACAGAGTTAACCCACTTGAATTTCTCTAAAACGAAAACTCATGCGAAGGGAAAAACTGAACGTGGAGGCGTCACAAACGAAGCCTTGACAGTTCTTCAGTCTTGACAGTCTCCTCTATTTTCCCAGAATGCCATAGACAGGTACCGGTGAATTCAACTCCGTGGATGATAATGGTTGAGACCTGATAAACAACCTGTAACAGTATCAATATTTTATCAACCATGTTAGGCCGTTCTTTCACTTCTTGAAAGCCGGTATGGCTATGAAAATTCTTTGAGCAATTTATTTACGTTTAAGACTCGTGCAGTTTAAGCGAGCGATAAATCGAAAATTCAGACGACGAGATCGACCATTGCCTGGGCGTAAAGAGGACATACGCAGACTGGATGGTGCACACTACAGACATTTGCGATCATTGTCACGAACTGACTCATTATGATGAGAAATCGGAGATTGTTTGTGAAAGTGTTCATACTAACTTCTCTATTTTGGCTCGCAGTGGACATTCTTTACATTTTAACTTCCATGAACAGCCAAATGAACTTTTTCAACACAGATTCGTTCGTGCCGTTAGACGCGACCGGAAGTTCGCACGGACAGTACCCACGCGAGTCCTCTCACGAGGCCGAGCGGAAGTGGCGAAGCCCCAAAGTAAAACCTTACTTTTCAGAAGTGATACAAGGATTAGGAGATGACGGTGAGCCAGCGACATTACCGTCGCGATTTAAGGACGAAGCAGAGCGCTCTTTTGATAACCATTCATTCAATGTTATTCTCAGTGATCATATGTCGTTGGACAGAACTCTGAAAGACTATCGTGGGCCAAAGTAAGTTTAATTGTAAGCAGCCCATTGTTTCTTTATGTTGTCACTGTAAACTTAAGTCGCCGAAAGGTTGTATTCCGTAAAACTGAAACAAGACGCATTCGATCTTGAGTAACATTATTTTTGCAAGTGGATTTATCAACAGTAAATTAGGTACGATGATCAGCTAGTTGGCAGATAATTGAAATTAAGTTCCTTTCAACCAAAATTAAAATGCAGTATTGTTTCAGAGACAACTCCATCGGTACATAATGATTTATTTTTCCCGTTTGTTTCAGGTGTCGCAAAAAACACAAGAAATACCCTACTAGTTTACCGACTACAAGTGTTATCATTTGTTTCCATAACGAGGCTCTGTCTGTTTTATTGAGAACAGTACACAGTGTCCTCAATAGGTCGCCACCACATCTTCTGGCTGACATTATCCTGGTAGATGACTTCAGTGAATTCGGTAGGACGCAAATCTATCTTACTTGTTTGACTTTGTAAAAATCAGAGAATTATCTTCAAACCTGTAGGTGCGTACCAACTTGTACTTGGCAATATCCAGTTATCAATTTACCTCCAAGGACCCTTTCAATACACAAACACTGACTCGATAAGGATCAGCCATTATTTATACCCGAAGAGGAAATGGGGGGAGCGGAGGGAGGAGGATTTTGGGGGGTGGATCACATGGTTTTCGGGAAGAACAGAAGGGGGATGATCACCCGTCTCCAACAGAGTGTAAGGAGGTGACTGGTTGGGGAGGGGGGAGGGGGAGGGAAAGGGGGGATGAGCTTTATGGGGTAATTAGGCAAATTTAATCGTACCACTACCTAATCCTCCAAACCACCACCCCCCTCCACCTTTCCCCTTCCCGTCGATAAATAATGACCAGTCCCAAGCCATTCGAAACGTGAATGACATATATCTGACCGTTTAACTATTCCTTTGCATCGTACAGAAAACCTTAAAATGTCTTTGGAGGAGCAGCTCAGCGAATTCGAAAAAGTCAAAATTATTCGAATGTCCCAGAGGGAAGGCTTGGTTCGAGCACGGCTTCGCGGAGCCGAGGTTTCCCGGGGAGAGGTTTTGACTTTTTTGGACTCCCACTGTGAAGCAACTGAAGGGTGGCTAGAACCGCTACTGGCTCGGATTGCGCAGAATCGCACCAATGTCGTTTGTCCTGTGATAGAAGTAATAAATGCTGACGACTTTGGTTATCAAACATCAGACGTAATTTATGAGCGCGGAGGCTTTTCTTGGGATCTGTTTTTTACCTGGAAAGCCATTCCGGAAGAGGAAAAGAAACGAAGAGAGGACGAAACAGACTTCATAAGGCAAGAGCGAAATTAAGGTTGTTCACTATCTGGGTAACACCCTCCCTCGGTCAGCTTTCATGGACATGAAACTGAATGATTTATCAGCAAGACCATTAAAATGGTCTCAATCGATTTCAGTTGCACGTAACGGCGAAGGATTGTTAGGGAAACTCCAAAAAGCGCCGCTGTTGTAAACTGCCAGATTATTGACGACCATAACAGAAGCCATCTTAAGAATCAATTCACCTAACCCTGACGAACGTAATGATTATCGTGAAAACGACCATATGACTGACATTCCGACCATACGACTGAAATTCCGCCTTAGATATACCCACAACAAGCGATATATTATCCGAACAGGCGACTGATACTCCGAACAGACGACTTTCACGTCGACCAGACGACTGATACTGTGAACAGATGACTCGGTAACATCGAGCAGACGACTGATACTCCGAATAGACGACTGTTAAGTCGAGCAGACGACTGATACGTCGAACAGAAGACTGATACTCCGAACAGACGACTGTCACGTCGAACAGACGATTGTCACGTCGAACAGACGACTAATACTCCGAACAGACGACTGTCACGTTGAGCAGACGACTGATACTCCCGAGCAGACGACTGCCAATACTCCGAACATACGACTGTGACTCCGAGCTGAAGATTTAAATGCCGACCGAGCGACCAATATTCTGAACAGACAACCGACTCTTTGATCAGACAAAAGATCGATAGTTGATAGTATGTTTCTGATCGGTTTTTACTCACGAAAATGTCTCTCCATAACATGACTACTGTTTCTCATTTGTCATTTTGGTTCCCATTTGCGTATCCTTCCTTTCAGGAGTCCTACTATGGCGGGCGGTTTGTTCTCGATGCATAAACAGTATTTTTATGATCTAGGATCATATGACGACCAAATGGACATCTGGGGAGGGGAGAACCTCGAACTATCCTTCAGAGTAAGGCGACACATGTTATAACTAGAAATATTGTGATGATACCTAACCCTCACCATGCCGCTCATATGTCCTTTTGTTAACTCAAAAGGAATGCACTACCAAAAAGGAAAAACAAACAAAACATAAATGTTCCAGAAACAAAAGGACAAACCCCCCTTGCCGCTTTCCCCAGATCTGTCCTTGACACCAAGAAATTTCGGAGTCGACTACTTGAAAATCTGCAATTAAGCGCATGGTATCAACATTTCACTAACGATGAAGTAGTAATGCGAATGAAAGAATTCTTCTTGAAAACAACATTTACGCTACAAACAGGACATAAAGTTAAAATTTAATTAAAAAACAAATATGGAATGATTTTTCTTTATGTGTCATCTAGCATGCAGTGCGAGAATTTTGCTCAACTCCGTATTTCTACGATTGCTGCGACATTGATGTGATAAAATATCAACTTATCTTGTTTTTAACCAAGGTATGGATGTGTGGAGGCCAATTAGAAATCGTACCATGCTCACGCGTTGGTCATGTGTTTCGTAAATACACGTCACCTTACAAGTTTCCTAAAGGCACCGGAGTCACTCTGGCGAAGAACTTCAATCGTCTGGCTGAAGTATGGCTGGACGAGTACAAGGAATTTTACTACAGGTACGGAAAGAATGGAGAAGTGTTATGAATCATATGTAATCGATGAAATCGTCGATAGGTTACGCTGTGAAAGAGAGTCTGTTCGTAGTCTATTTAAGAAGTAGATTCCATTTTGCTTGGTGTCCGCTCACCAGTAGATCAGAGATGACGTCAAAATGCGGTGAGAATAAGAAAAGTGGCACACTAACGCATATTTGATCTGAATTCAAGACCTCGTACAATTTGCAGGAGGAAAACTGATGAGGAGAAGAACGTCGATATTGGAGACATAAGCGAGCGAGTAAAGCTAAGAAAGAGGCTGGGCTGTAAAACCTTCAAATGGTATCTGGAAAACGTGTTCACGGATATGGCTTCAGTGGATCCCAATCCTCCAGCGCAGGGCGAGGTGTGTAAAGTGCATCGCGGTGGTTCGATTCTTGTATAATGTGCAGGGCTATTCAAGCATTAGACCACACTTCGAATCGGTTTACCGACAAAATAACCCACGTGGAATGTTAGGAGAACACAAGTAGCTCATCTCTGTGCTTTTTCCCTTAATATACCTATGTGTGTAGAAATAATCCTGCATAATGCAGTAAGTTCATACATTCTTCTATAATCAACACTCCAACCTCTATTATTAGATACGAAATCCAAGTTCCTCTCTATGTGTGGACACGCTTGGAGAGAAATCGGCC